GCCTGTAATCCCAGCACTTTGGGAGGCCGAGGCGGGTGGATCACGAGATCAAGAGATCGAGACCATCCTGGTCAACATGGTGAAACCCCGTCTCTACTAAAAATACAAAAAATTAGCTGGGCATGGTGGCGCGTGCCTGTAATCCCAGCTACTCAGGAGGCTGGGGCAGGAGAATTGCCTGAACCCGGGAGGTGGAGGTTGCGGTGAGCCGAGATTGCGCCATTGCACTTCAGCCTGGGTAACAAGAGCGAAACTCTGTCTCAAAAAAAAAAAAAAAAAAAGTGATTCAGAGTACAAAAATCTGAAAAATTTGTAGTCTGGCCATGTAATAGACAAGGAAAGAGCGCTTTCAGGAGAGGAATCCAAGGGTGCTGTGGAGCAACCATTTGCAAGACAGATGACTTGCAAGAGAGCATGACTAAAAGTCATGCTAATAGTTAAGGCCATGGGAAAAGTCCCCAAAGGCACTTCAGAAAACAGCCAGCCTCTACCATCACAAGCTGAGAGGTCCAGGAGGACAGAATGGTTTTCAGATGACAGGCTCAGGGCTCTGTGCCCTGTGCTGCCGAGAATGTTCCTGTCACATTCCAGCCACTCTGGCTGCAGCCACAGCTCAAAGAACCTCAGGTACTGCTCCGGATGCTGCTCTGGAGTGCACAAGCCATAAGCCTTATCAGCTTCCACATAGTGTTAAGTCTGCAAGCACCCAGCATGCAAGAGTGATGAAGTCTTGATGGGTTCCACCTAGATTTCAAAGGATGCATCAGAAAGCCTAGGTGTCCAGGCAGAAGGCAGAAGCCTGCTGAAGGGGCAGAGCTACCACTGAGAGCCTCTACTAAGGTAATGCCTATCAGGAATGTGAGATTGCAGCCCCCATAGAGACTTGTATTAGGGCAATGCCTAGTGGAGCTGTGGAAGCAGGGCCATTGTCCTCCAGACCCTGGAATTACAGAGCCACTGGCAGTGTGCAACCTCAGCCTGGAAAAGCTGCAGGCATTCATTCAACCTAACCCATGAGAGCAGCCACATGGAATGGGCAAAGCCATGGGGGTGGGGCTGCCTGAGGCCTCTGAAGTCCATCCTTCACACCAGTGTGCCTAGGATGCAGAACATGAAGTCAAAGGAGATTGTTTTGGAACTTTAAGATTTAATGTCTGCTCTGCTGGCTTTTGGGTTTGCATAAGGTCCATTACACACACACACTCCTACATATAGTAGGTGTTTACATTGATAGATTTACACTGATAAGCTATCAGTTTACATTGCCAGGGTGAAATTCAACAGAACTGTTTTAGAGCAAAGATCTTGAGGCCCACAGGGAATTCCCTTGTGGGCAAATTGTGAGGAAGTTAAAAAAAAAAAAATGTTAAAACCTCAATCCTCAGTAAGGAAGGTAGATTACATTAGGTGAATCCATGTATGTGCTAATGGGGTTGGAAAGAACCTTACAGAGCATATTACCTGATAAACCTGAGTAGAGTGGGTTTGGGAGAATAAACTAACAGGATTATTGTGTCTTGTAGTTGGTATATGGGAGCAATTGACGTGCCCCCTTCAGAACCTTAACTGTTAATAACAATGGCTGTAACAACACAAACTAGTGACCAGAGATACAGCTCTTAGGCCAAGCCGGCCTGATGGTATGGATGCAGGAAGTGACTGACCAGTGGCAGTACTCAGCCAGACCAAGACCGAGAGGGAAGAGTCCACAGCTTTCTGGAGGCTAAGGTGTTCTGGTGGTAGGAAAGTGTGCCCCAAGCCTTCATGGATGAGTTATAGGTCTTAAGATTAGTCTCCTCGTTTGGATTCCACACTCGCTAAATAACCTCATAATAACCTGGTTTTCCACGTAACTGCCTCTAGGAAGAAAATATACTTTTCATGCTGAAACAGGTATTTCACTCTGCATGGTAAAAGTTCTACATCTTACTACAAAATAATAACTGGCTGGCTTACTTAATTAAAAAAAAAAAAGAAAGAAAGAAAAAGAAAAATCTCCCATTATTTAAGAAAGAAAGAAAGATACATGTATGCTCTGTCCAATAAGATTTTATCCCCTGGGTACAGAGCTTAGACTCTAACATTTTAGCACTGATTTCCAGATTAGCTCAACTACAAAGGAAATATTTGACCCACAGATACCTGAGAAGGGAAGGTGACTAAGGAATGGGTGTTGAGGAACTCTGCTCTTCTGCAGATATTCTGAACTGTCTTCAGGATCCAAGATCCTATCTTAGGATCCACTGAAGACTTGCACTCATGAAGTCATTTTACCATAGAGCACATCCCTACAGGGCTGCCCTAAAAATATGCCCAACATAGAAACCTAAAATTTTGCTGGTTATCAGCATCACTGAGGAATAGTATTTAGACCTGATAAAGTAGAGGAGCTGAATCTAAGAACTGAACATAAAGCCAGGCACCCAAATGGGCTACATCAACTGTTGATGAAGTGAAGAGAAAAATTTGCATACTGGCAACATGAACCAACAAGAAAACCAGTCTGTCTCTGGTAACAGTAAGAATGGGGAGGAACTGCTGGGCGCGGTGGCTCAAGCCTGTAATCCCAGCACTTTGGGAGGCTGAGGCAGGTGGATCACGAGGTCAAGAGATCAAGACCATCCTGGTCAACATGGTGAAACCCCGTCTCTACTAAAAATACAAAAAAAAAAATTAGCTGGGCATGGTGGCGCGTGCCTGTAATCCCAGCTACTCAGGAGGCTGAGGCAGGAGAATTGCCTGAACCCAGGAGGCGGAGGTTGCGGTGAGCCGAGATCACGCCATTGCAGTCCAGCCTGGGTAACAAAGTGAAACTCCGTCTCAAAAAAAAAAAAGAATGGGGAGGAGACACACATTAGAGAAATAGACAAAAATGGCAAAACTAGGTGGAAAGGACTAATAATATTAACAGTTTTCCCTAATCATTTATAATCATAGCCCTACTCTCGTAGTTTCAGCATTTGAATGTACGCCATACTCACAGTCTGATAAACCCCAATTCAAGAAATAAATCTAGTCCCAGGTTGATAGTGTTACCAGATGGGTGTGGTGGCTCATATCTCTAATCCCTATACTTTGGGAGCCTGAGGTGGGCAGATCACTTGAGGTCAGGAGTTCGAGACCAGCCTGGGCAACAGAGTAAAACCCCATCTCTACTTAAAATAAAAAAATTAGCTGGATGTGGTGGCAGGCTCCTGTAATCCCAGCTACTCAGGAGGCTGAAGCAGGAGAATTGCTGGAACTCAGGAGGCAGAGGTTGCAGTGAGCCGAGATTGCACCACTGCACTCCAGCCTGGGTGACACAATGAGACTCCATCTCAAAAATAAAAATAAAAATAAATAAATAAATATAGTGTTCCCCAGCACACATAAGAAACCAAGACAAATCATCTCAACCCAGACCTCTCAAGATTCTCAAAGTTAAAATTTAACCAAACATGAGCTCCTAATAAAGTATCAAGCATACAAAGAAGCAGAACACCATGAGCAGAGTCAAGAGAGACTACAAACTGATAAGTAAGACATACACAGACTGCAGATACTAAAATTGTTTTTAAAAAGTATACAAAGTAAATATGTTTAAAGTGTTTCAACTGAAAAGCAGAGATAAGCACTATGTAGAGCCGAAAGAAGGGACATTTAGGTCAACCTGGACCT